TGTTCTATTTTATCATAATATATTTTCGTGTTTTTCCCATTTTTCAGAGAGTGGTCAGATGATCGGGTGAGCAGCAAACCATCCTATCGCGGAACGTTCCCTCCCATACGTCACCATGGCAACCACAGAGCGTCACGCCGACGTGGCCACCAAGTCGTTGACCAACAGAACAGTGGAGACGGACATGACGTCACTACTCCGCGGAGACAACATCAGCTCCCTCTTCTCCGGGAGCGTGGGCGGCCTGGAGGGTTTGACCTCGTTCTTGGACGAGAACCTGACCAGCGCCTCCTCTCCCTCGGCGGGAAGTCTCAACCTCACCTGTCTCTTCAACGCCACCTTCAACTCGTCGCTGTGTGACGCTCACGGCAAGAACGAGACGGTGGCGGCAGTCGTGAGCGGACCCCACGTGCTTTGGGTGTCTGTCTTCATGGGCGTCATAGCAGGCATCGTGAGCCTGGTCACCATCCTGGGCAACATCACCGTGCTCCTGGCCTTTGGCTTAGAGCGGACAATCCGGCAGCCCACCAACTACTTCTTGGCTTCCCTGGCCGTGTCGGATCTGCTCATAGGAACGTTCTCCATGCCGCTGTACACACAGTACTACCTCCTGGGAAAGTGGCCGCTGGGACCCTGGCTCTGTGATCTGTGGCTGTCTCTGGACTGGACCGTGTGTCTGACGTCACAGTATACCGTCTTCCTGATCACCATGGACCGTTTCCTGTCGGTGAAGATCCCGGCCAAATACCGCAACTGGCGGACGGAGAGGAAGGTGATGGTGATGATAGCCCTCACCTGGATAGGACCCGCCATTATTTTCTTCACCTCCATCGTCGGCTGGCAGTATTTCGTCGGGAAGCGCACGGTGGGCAAGGAAGAGTGCGAGGTGCAGTTTATGAGTGACGCCATGTTTACTTTTCTGCTCACCATCGGCTACTACTGGATTACTCTGTTCGTCATGTGTGTCTTGTACGGAGGGATTTACAAAGTGGCCTTGGACCTACAGAGGAAGTCGGACGCCAAACACAAAAAGATCCAGTCGACCATGGAGCTGGCGGCGGACAACGCTCAGAACGCCATCCGGAGCTTTGGTGAGGGCGGCAGTAACAACAACAGCAGCGGGGGCGGGGACAGCCAGGTGCCGCCCGCCTCCCACAACAACTGCAAGACCAAGTCGATGAAGACGAGCAGCACCCGGAAGTCTGTGAAGGCGGCGCTGCCGTGCCCTGTGGGGGCCCCGCACGTGAACACCACCAGCTTCACCAGCGCCCAGGACAAGGACGAGGACCGGTCCAGTAGCCCAGCCTTTGCCTCTGACGACGACAACAGCAGCAGTGGGGGCGCCGCGGGGGCGGGAAAGTCTCCCCAGGCCCAGGGGGGAGGGGGAGGGGGCGGCTACTCCAGGAACCAAACCTCTTCCGGCGCGGGTGGCACAGTCAACAACGCGCTGTTCGCCAACACGGGCGGCCTGGTTCGCTCCCTGCACGGTGACCTGTTCTTCCCCTCCGCCGCTCCCCCCGAGCCGCCCCAGTACCTCCTGCAGCCCCCGCCCCCCTACAGCCGCCTCTACCCCCACCCGGGCAGCGAGGTGTCGGGCTCGGACACAGACGGGGGCGGCCTGCAGCACGAGGCGGACAGCGTCTACTCCTCGGCCACCTCGGACCGCCTGGAGAAACAGACGCTGCTACAACAGGACAACAATAACAGCAGGGTCGCCCACGGCTCCGACATCAACCGCGGCTGTCGTTTCATCGACGAGAAGAGTCTGCTGGCGACACTGAACGAGAGCGCCGCGCTCCTCCCCGCGCTCACCGGAGACTCGGAGCTGGACGACTCAGACGTGGCCGACCTGAACGCCTCCTCGCCCATCTGGAAGCGCCGCTCCTCCCTCCCGCCGCTCGCCTCCGACGTCTTTGACCTGGATGACGACATCAGCGATACGGCCATCACGACGGACATGACGACGACCACAACGCTGGCCACCGCCACAGCCACGCCCGTGTCCAACAACAGCATCAGACAGGGGCCGGAGCACAGCGGCCACCACTCGGGCACGGATGATGAGGGGACCCACGGGGGAGGAGGAGGAAGAGGTGGCGCGGACGCTCACGCCAGGGGTGAAGGTGGCGCTTCTGCCGACGGCAAACTCCCCACCACCACCACCAGCAACAACAACCACTGCAACAGCTACAACTACCCCACCGGCCCGCCCTCTGAGACCAACACCACCGAGGACGGCTCTCACCCCGACCCCCACTGCCTGTCCGCGGTGCGCGTGAGGCGGCAAAAAGACACGAGACTGCACGCCTTCGTCAAGTCTGTCCGATCTCGTAACAGTCGGAGGCGGAACCGGCGAGAGCGGAAGTCCAAGTCGGAGAACCGGGCGAGGAAAGCTCTGCGGACGATTTCCTTCATTCTGGGCGCGTTTGTCTTGTGTTGGACGCCTTACCACGTGAACCTCATGGTGATGGCTCTATGCAAAGACTGCATCAACATGAGTTTCTACGCGTTCTCCTACTATCTATGTTACCTCAACAGTCCCATCAACCCACTTTGTTATGCATTCGCCAACGCTCAGTTCAAGAGAACTTTCTTACGAATCATGAAGTTTGACTGGCACAGAACGTGATCCTGGCCGATCTCTTAGCAGAAGGACGTGATAGATAGCTAGATAGATAGATAGATAGATGTATAGATAGCTACTCTACAGCCGGTTCTTTCCATGCACGCACGGACACGCACGCACGCACACACACACGCACACACACACGCACACACACACTCACACACACACGCACACACACACACACACACACACACACACACACAACCACACAAACAAACAAACAACAACAAACGCACCACCAATATGAACAAAAGCGCTGGCAAGCAGACAAAGCTGCGGCGCGAACTAGTGTGTCCAGGTTGCGTGCTAAATGAAACAGTGTGTCCAGATTTTGCCGGCAGAACGGGTCCGATGATGACCCAGAAAATGTTGCCGCTACCTGTCAGGAGTTACACGGTCCGACTACAGTGACGGTGAGCGTGTCTTCCCTGTGGTGTCCTCGCTGTCCGATCTACTCAACTGAGATACCCACTTGACCCCCACCCCCAGACCCTCACCTCC